TGAAATAATTTAAGACGAAGAGGTATCATTCATCTATATTATTATTTACTACTCTAATAGCAGCCACTAACATTTCTGTGAGTCAAGCACTATGCTTAGCATTGTACAACCATATTTCATTTATTCTTCCCAATAGCCTGTGCATGTGGGTCCTGGCCTTATCTCCATTTAAGGCTGCAGATCAGAGAGGTTCAGCACCCTACTCAAGGTTACAGAGCAAGCAAGCTGTGAGGCTGAGACGGGAGACTGGGGCTGTGTGACTCTGAAGCCCACACCTGCTGTCACTCGCTGCACAGGAGGATTCATGTCACCAGCTCACCGATAACTTTTCTCACAGTGAGACAACTTGAAAGGGCCAGCGTCTGCCCCTTGGCATGTGTTCAAGTACCTCTGAGTGAAGGTAACTGGAGTGACAAAGACATTAAGAGGTAGTAGAGCCCGGCTGGCTTGGCTCAGTGGTTGAGCATCGACCTATGAACCAGGAAGTCACGGTTTGATTCCTGGTCAGGGCACATGCCCGGGCTGTGGGCCCAATCCCTAGTGTGGGGTGTGCAGGAGGCAGCAGATCAATGATTCTCTCTCATCATTAATGTTTCTATTTCTCTCTCCCTCTCCCTTCCTCTCTGAAATCAACAAATCCTATACAATAAAAGCATAGTGTGCAAATTGTCCCCTCAACCAGGTATTTGTCCAGGAATTCAACCAAGGGGCAGGGCTGGCCAGGGGAAGGGAGGGAGGACCCGGCAGCAGCTGCTAGGGACCCTACCAGTGCACGAATTTCATGCACTGGGCCGAGAGAGAAAGAGAGAGAGAGAGAGAGAGAGAGAGAGAGAGAGAGAGTATTTTTTTTAAAAGAGGTAACAGAGTCACTACATTTTAGTTTTAATAACCTCCCCCCCAAGATTTGTCTTATGAAATATCTAACTGAGAAATACCACGGAGGGTGAGAAAGCCAGGGTGCCCCCAAATCAGCAAGGTTCAGCAAAACTGCAGCCAGAAACCACTAAGTTTCACCAAGTCTATTCATAGCACAGAACAAACAAGCAAAAGCAGAGCATAAAGGAAATCCTGACAACACAGCCAGCCCCTCTGAGCTGGTGGGCGGTTGTAGAAGAGCAGTGGTCTACACACCTGGTACCCCGGGGTCAGGTGTCTCTCTGTCCCTCTCTAGTTGCAGTCACCACCCAGGAATGACTTAACTGCTTCAGGTCCTGCGGGCTCCTCGTTCTAGGGCCATAACGTAATGCCCCATCTATTTAATGTCATTATTTACATCATCATCATTATCATCAACCTCATTTACTACTCTATTATTACTCTATTAAGGAAGTTCAGAGAAAATAATCTAATGGAAATGCTTTGAAGAGCTTAAGTTATCCCCCAAAAAAGGCATTGTTTTGACCACATTGACCACAAAGATTTACCAGGAAGGAAAATCATTTCACTCTCTTTTGCCAGTGTCTGCTTTAGAATCCTGGAATATTTTCAATAAAATTTTATAGAAAGTTCCATACCCGCATATTTACCAACTCTGCCATACATTTTAAGATAAACTACATTTTGAAGTGAACATTGATTTTATTCATATGATCTCCACTAAAGGAAAAAAATTATTAATAGCCTAGTAGCAATAAGTTTGGACTCTGAGCTCTTGGGTTCAAATCCCAGCTGATTTTTACTAGGGAGGTGACCTTGGGTATGAGACTTAACCTTTCCCTACCGCATTTTTCTCATCCATAAAATAGAGACAATGATATCATAGAGGTTGTTATGGTGATTAAATAAAATGGATTTGTCAGGATGTCCAATACAGAGTTAGCAATCAACAAGTATTATCAGTTTTCATTTTCTTAAAAGGAAAACAACAAAAGGAACATACAGGGTAGGGCAAAAGTAAGTTTACAATTGTGAGTACATGAAACACAGAGTGTATTCTTGTATAATTATTTATTGTATTATTTTCCATATGAACAACTGTAAATCTATTTTTGCCCCCCCCTTGTATTTTGCAAGACCTTCTTTCACAAATGTTAGAGAATCCTAAAATAATATCAAAAAACACTTGAAAAGATAAGCTATGAACAAAAGCAGCAATGCATTTCTTAATGTTATTTTTTAAAGTACCCCAAAAGTTACAAAATAATAGTACATGCTGAGATTCATGGAAAAGATGCCCAGGGAAACAAGAAAAATGCATACCATAGAACTACACTAAACAAAACTGATCAAATAGATAAAGTACGCCATCAATTCCAAAGAGCCTAACGTTTGTTCCATGCATGACCCAGCAACCAAAAGTAGGAGCCAAGCTTTGCGAGATGGCAGCCAGTTCATGCAAGGTTAAGTACTTATTAAATTACTTTTCCTAGCGCTAATTTCACAAGCAGTTTAAAGAAATTAATCTACTTGGAAATTGAGACGGTGAACACTAATGACTGGAAAGCCAACTGCACACAGAAAAAGTACAGCAATATTGATCAATTCATCCAGGGATCGAAGAGTTTATTCATACTTTTCAGTAAATATTTACCATCTACATCTGGCGAGGCACATGTGAAACCATAAGAAATACAAAGAAAAATAAAGCAGTCCCTACCCTTATGTTTCATAATCTAACACAGTAAACACAGATGAAATTTTAATATAGCTCTTTGATGGGTAAAACACAGTTACAGCACCTAATTCAGTCATAAGGCAATATGGAAGGATTCGCAGAGAAGGTCATAGTGAACATGCAGCCAGGAGGAGTGAGAGCGAACTAAGAAAGGGGGTAAGAATAGTCTCAAGAGTCTTCCAGGCAGAGGGAACAGCATATACAAAAAGTACATCATATGCCACTTCTCTCCTCCCTGCTCTCCAAAGGCTTCCCACTGTACCTAAAATCCTCAACGCACATCATGGCCTAAAGGATCCTATATGATCTGGCCTCAACTCATCTCCTACTATTCTTCCCTTACTTCCTGCCCTCTGGACACACTGGCCTCCTTACTGACATAAGATACACCATGCACTTTCCTGCTTCCAAGCCTTTATTCTTGCTGTACCCTCTGTCTGGGATGCTCTTCTACCAGATATCTGCAAGGCTCACTTTATTCAAACGCAGTCTTTTCAGGGAAGTCTTCCGTGACCCTCCTATCTGCCATACCTCACCACTCTCAGTAAGTCTCTTTTTCTTTCTAGCACTGAAAACCATGTATTCCACTATACTCCTCTTCATGCGATATCCATTTAGTGTCTATCTCTTTAATTAAATGGGGCCAGGGGCTTTGTCTGTCTCTGGTTCAGGGCACATTTCCAGTGCCCATAACTGTACTTGCATGTGGTAAGAGCTCAATGAAACTTTTGTTGAATAATTAATGAATTAATAAATGGCCTGAAGGCTAGTCCAGAGACACACAGTTCAGTGTGAATGGCGCATAGGATATAAGGAGCTAGAGTAAGTCTGTTTTCTAGAAGCTATGACAACTCTCTTTTACTTTTCTTATTTTGGTCCTATACCCATCATACTCATCCCATTGGCAAGAATAGTTCTGTATCAGACATTTTCAGTTATTGCTAATCCCAATTCCCTCAGTATGGTTACCCAGATCCAGAGAGATCAACTAGAGAAGAGTGTCACAAAACCCCTGCCTTCCTTCCTTGGAAATGACATGTATGTTTTTGACAACCTGGAATCTTATAGCTTGAAGTGATCAAGATGGTAATCTAAATACGCAACACCTTCTAGGATTGTCCTAAAGGAACTAAGAAAGTAAAATAAAACAGCAACAAAACATATAGACACACTCAGGTAGACAATGGAGGTGTTGAGGGATCCCTTCCATTCAAATGCATGTCAGAGAGATGAGGGTTTTTTAATTCTTCAATATCGGAAGCAGATGACAGGCAAACTAGTACATATTGGGCATTAAGTGGTTGGACAATCCCAGCTTGAAACAAAGGTGAACAGAACTGGAACAGAGGCAGGACATAGGAGGTTCATAGATGGCCATCACTGTCATGTTAATATCCAAAATGGTTTTCATCGATGGAGTCTAATGACATACCAGAGTTACTCAGCTAAATACTTAAGTATTTGACACAGCTTATTCTGTTAATTCCCACACAGAATTATACATGTAGGAGATGGGTGCTATCATTACTCCCATGTCATAGAAGAGGACACTGAGGTTTATAAAGGTAAGGTGACAGGGCTAGAACTCAGTCCTTTCTCGCTCTTAACCATTATTTGACCACCCAGGCCCTCTCCCCCATGCACCAACCCACCCATCACTGAGTAAGCTCTTTTATGTGATAAAGAAATATGTTCAACTCCCTGAACCTTGAGAGGCAAACAGAGTAAAGGGTGGGGGAAGGGGGCGTGCCATCGCTCCTGCACTCCTTTCTCTTATGGCTGCCCGGGAGGATGCGGGGAAACAAAAACAAGGAAGGTAGGATGGACTAGGAACCATAGAAATAGCAGATCAGCTCAGAGATGACTGGGGAGATTCAAGATCCACCAACCAAATACTCCTGGGCTACAGTATATTCATTTCTCAAAATGCTCTGAGATTCTTCCTCTACCTGAAGTTCTCTCACTACTCATTTCTCAACCTGAACTTAGACTTCCACTGCACTTGACACTGCATCTCTAGCCATTTACAAGACTAAACCTCCAAGTTACACAACAGTGTTTTAAAGAGAGAATGGGCAGCTGCATCTTTTGATTGCAAACATCAAGCTCCAACCTTCTGTTTTTACTTCTGGGGTTTTGTTAAATCAACCTAAATATAGAAAACACTATTTAAACAAATTCTTTATTAAGAATCTTATGAAAGTGACGTAATTTCTGGCAAAGAGCAAAGCAAGTGAGTGAGAAAGTTTTCTCATTATTAAAGGAACAGTTATGTAACCATCCCACATGGAAGAACCAGGCTGAAGTCAAAATGATAAAAGACTAAAATAGCCTTGCTTCTCTCCAAAAGTTAAGGTTACAGTGGGGGATTTCATGTGCAACATACTTCTCATATAGCCTCTGTCCTCTCATGAAGGCCTTCACTTCGTTGTCCAATGGGAAGGTGCCGTCATCCTTTCTAAAGCGGTAAAAGAGTTTGACATCCTTGAATTCCTTGTGCTCATCACACACTGAAACACAATATACAGAGAGGAGCAAATAAGAAAAACAGATAATTCTTATTTATTTACTCAAATGAATTATAATGCTAATTAAGATTTGTTTTACTACCTAATTTCTCAAGCACGCTACTCTATGATACATGTAGAGTATGTAGTGTGGTACCTGGAACAGAGTAAGTGCTCAGTATTATTAGCTATTATATCATCATCATCATCATTACCTATTAAAAAGGTCACACACAAAACAAACAAAAACAACAACAACAAATAAGAGTCACCAAATTCAATTCATCATTCATTCCACAAACTCCACTTGAGCATGATATCGGGGAAGGCATCAACCATAAAGAATGTGAAATGTAGCGAGAGAAAGAGAAATGTCAACATGTAATTAAAATAGGATGTGATAAGATTATGAAGGAGGTGAGGAGATAATGGGGGCCCAAAGAAGGGGTACCGAGTACCCCAGTAACCTAGTTCTGGGGACTGGATGTTTCTCTAAAGAGTTTGCATGTAAGTGGAGACGTGAATAATGAGTAGCAATTAAGCAAAAATGAAGAGAAAGGGAATTCTAGCCAGAGAGAATACCAGCATGTGCAAGATCTTGGCCAGGGTTAGCGATTTTAAGGAAACATGTTCATGAATATTCATTGCACCATTGAGAATAACAGTAAAAAGTTAGAAATAACCTCAATGTCCATGGATAAGCGCATGATGGCATAATTATACATGGGATATATAGCAGTGAAAATAAGGAAACAGGAGGCCGGAACCGGTTTGACTCAGTGGATTGAGCGTCGGCCTGTGGACTGAAAGGTCCCAGGTTCGATTCCGGTCAAGGGCATGTACCTTGGTTGTGGCACATCCCCAGTAGGGGGTGTGCAGGAGGCAGCTGATCGATGTTTCTCTCTCATCAATGTTTCTAACTCTCTATCTCTCTCCCTTCCTCTCTGTAAAAAATCAATAAAATATATTAAAAAAAAAAAAACAGGAGATACACTATCAGTATAGATGAGCCTCCCCAAAAGCACATTGATCGAGCTGCAAACGAATAAATACCCATCTCTATAATGATTTAAGAACAATATGATATGTTGCAAAAAGAGGCACATACAGGAAGAAGAAAAGGTATAAAGAAGTTCATGGAAATAAACCCAAATGCCTCTTAGAGGGAGGACGGAAAAGAAGCTGGGGAAAGGTTCACAGGAGGCAATTAAAGTCAAATGTTTTATTTTGTAAATGGGTAGGTTCATATCTGGAATAAAGATGTAGTCCTTCATTTCTCCTTTAGTGTCGCCGCACTCACCATGATGAATGATGCCCCGGTCTGCTAATTTCTGCATGAGTTTAATTGCTGTCTCTCGGTCAGAAGCCTCTTTGTGCTCAATCAGCCAGTCAATCAGTTCTTTGGCGACGAAGCAGTTTGGGTAGGTTTTGAGATGATGTCGCCTATCTTTAATAACCTTTTCCTCATGCAACCTGAGCCTGGAAAGAAAATTTGGCAATCATTTTAGAAATTTTGATGACAACATAAATCATTGAACCCATCCCAGAGAGCAGTGACAGGATGGAAGCTCTGAAGGTACTAGAGTGCCATTCAACTATTTCAGTGTCAGTGAGTGACTGCCACACTGTCGAGCCCTGAGGCCCTAGCGAGTGATTCCATCCCCAGATCTGCAGGTGATACAGGTAAATGGGAGGGAAATACAACCAGACAACCTAGAGCTCTCCTGCCACTCAGGAGGCTGAAAAAAGCTCTCCCACCCCTCCCCTACCTCACTCCCTTTTATTTATCTCTTCACCAGGGGGCTTACAGCTTCAACCAGCCAACCAACAAAAACTCTAGAAACTTGCTGAAACTGGATATTTCCTCTTCATTGCAGATTGCTCAGGGTCCACCATATTTGCTTTCTCAGTCATTCATAGAACAAATATGAATTTATGACAATGTATATTACCTGCCCATTAGGCACTTCGGGGCATTAGAGATATACATCAGAAAATACACAAAGATTCTTGCCTTTATGGGCCTTGTTTTCTATACAGGCAACAGTTAATCCTTTCATGAGATTTATTAGGTTCCAGGTGTTGATTTGAGCACTTTACATAGATTGACTCAATGTTCACAATAACAATCTAATCAGAAGTTATTATTGCTATCCTTTTTCCTCCCTCTCTCCCCTTCTCTCTTCCTCCCTCCCTCCCTCCCTTCCTTCCTTCCTTCCTTTTTCCCTTCCTTCCTTCCAGCAGAGAGAACTGAGACTTGCCTACAACCACTTGCCTAACTAAGATTTGGACCCTGATAGTCTCATTTCAGAGTCCAGCTTTTCAAAGGGCACATCATGCTGCCTCTAGCTGGGGAGGAGTAATAAAAAATCGAGAAGATGGATTAAAGCTGTTGAATAAATTCAATTTGTATACGCTGATGGATGAGTGTGGCAGTAAGTGGTTGACACAGAGCATTCCCTTATTCCCTTCAGAACTCAGTAACTTTTTTCCAAAAGTTTTAAACCAGTCTGGAAAAAATAGTTTCTCCCATTTATCTTCCCTTCTTTGATCAGCCTTGTACTTTTTAATTCTCAAGGGAAGGGTCTGAGTTGGGTGAACCATGAGATCGCTTTCCTCCTACTTCACCCACATGGCTCCTATGCTCCTTCCGTCAATCCTCAACATTGCTGAGAAAGAGAATGCCACATGAGAAAATCACACAGTAACTGTGTGACCTGGGCAAGTAGCGTAATGTCTCTTCCTTTCTCTGTAAAATGGAGGCAGCTATGGAGTGCACGAATTAGTTGAGATTTGGGGATATAATGTCTGAGAAGCACCAGCAACCCAGCATAGTGCCTGGCACACTGCATGTCTCACCCTCCTTTCTCCCACTCCCTAAGGGAAGAACTGAATCATACTCTCATTGCTGTGTGTGTGTGTGTTTTAACAGAGTGCACTAAGTGATATTTAATGGGTTTTGATATCCCAAGGGTCATGATTAGGAGTTGGGAGCATACTGGGCTGGAGCTCTGAGGCTAAGCTGCTCTTCCTTGCTAGACACTGTTATAGGCCAAGTAGTGGTCCCCTAAAATTCATATATTGAGACCCTAAGATCTGGTACCCCAAAATGCGGCTATATTTGGAGATAGAATCTTTTTAAAGGCAATTAAATTACAATGAGGTCAATAGGGTGGGCCCTAATCCAATATGATTGGTGTCCTTATCAGGGGAGGAGATGAGGACACAGACATGCACAGATGGAAGACCACATGAAGACACAGAGAAGGAGGCCATCTTTAAGTCAAAGAGAGGACTTAGGAAAACCAACCCTGCTAATGCCTTTTTTTAAAAAAATATTAATTTTAGAAAGAGAGGAAGAGAGAGAGAAACATCGACTTGTTGTTTCACTTATTTCTGCATTCGTGGTTTGCATCTTGTATGTGCCCTGACCAGGGATTGAACAAAGAACCTTGGTGTATCGGGACAATGGCTCTAACCAATTGAGCTGCTGGGTCAGGGTCATGACAATACCTTGATCTCAGATTTCTAGCTTCCAGAACTGGGAGAGAGTAAACTTTAGCTGTGTAAGCCACTTGATCTATGATACTTTGTTATGGCAGCCTGACCTAAGACAACCAATTGTGGAAGACAGGAGGCTCCTGAGTAGCCTGGTGATAAAGGGCTCAGCTGGGGCATCAGCAGGCGGGAGGGGAGACATCTGTTAACTGCATAGAAATTGCCACTGGCCTGATGTCTACATTACCGCAACATTCCTGGGTTAAAATACTGAACCCCAAATGTCTAACCACTGTACTGTGCACCTGAAGCTAATATAATATTGAAAGTCAACAGTAATTTAAAATTTGAAAATAAAAATTTTAAATTAATTTTAGAAAGAAAGAAATACGAAACCCCCAAATATGAGTTATGAGGACAGTCAGGAGCATAAGACGAGGGCTATGAAGACCCGGCTCTGGTCCTGACTCTATAATTCCAGGCAATCAAACTTCTCAGCATGAGAGTCCCATTGGTAAAAGGGCATCTGCCCAATCACACTGTCACAACGCTCACTAACCGGGATCGAGTTAGCATTTGAGCCCTGAGCACCTGCCAACCACAGTTTTAATGGCTTTATTTGTATTAATCCTCATGCCAACTCCCAAGGCGGGTCATGTAAAAACCACAAATGATACCCATGTAAAGGTGTAATTATTAGTAAAATATAAATGAGCCCTAATTTAAAAACAAAACAAAAACATATTCACAGAGGCACTAAAGTCCTCACACGAATCCTTCTAATGAATTCAGTGACAATGACACTTAACAGGCTCAAAGTGGCAGAATGCGAAACATTAATTCTTAGACATGATGTCTGCCAGGAATTCAAGAATAATGAAGACCAATTTACTTAGAAGTTGAAATGTGGGATACACTACCATATAATTTGGTAGAGGGAGAAATAGGTTATGAGCCAAAAGAGGAGTTTTAGCTCCTGTAAACTTTCCAGCTTTAGTAGATATATATGTAGATATATAGATAGATAGATAGATAGATAGATATAGATATATAGATATATAGATATAGATATATATTAGATAATGTTTATCTTTAAATATTCCAGAATAGAACCTTTCAGTTACTGCTCTTTGACAAACCCCAAGCTTGGTTCTAATTATTGAGCATATTTGATTCCCGCCCTGCTCCGTGGGAAAGCACTAGATAGCACCCCTCAGCCCACAAGGGCCTGGTACATTTCCATGTTTAGAAAACTGAGCAGAAATATGATGGAGGGAAAAGAATTCTGGATAAGCAATTTTTTCAAGTTTCATTGAAAAACAACAATTTTGCATAGCTCAACCTCTCATGGAATCGCATTCTCTAGAAAGACTGCAAAATGCTGAGCTCGGGGCTAAAAGCCACACTTTTAAACCCAGCACCTTGCCTGGACATGTCAGTCACATTGTCTGCCATGTCCAACATCCTCTTTGTGTTAAACTGCCTTC